CTCAACGAAAGCATGTCAAGAGGCTTGAAACACAAAGTTAGTCAAGGGCTTTACAGTACAACCATACTAAGTAATGCTCAAATGGCCTCAACCATTCAAAACAGACCTAAGGCAAGTCAAAATAGTAGCAAAAACATGCTAGAATCGCAGCATAGATGACAAGAAAGATATGCTTATGTATTAGCTCACAAACAAGGCATGATGGCACAACTCTTAAACACAATTAAAGAGTGATAAACATGAGAGTATGGTAAAGATATAAGCTCTAAAATACCATGCCAAATGATGCCAAGGCATGCAAACATCACAAGTATAGCATGGTAGTGGCCTCAAAACTTAAGACTAGTGAAGCCATTTACACTATAGCTATACAAAGCAAGCCCAAAAAGGCCAAGAACACCCAAAACAGTCCTAGAGCATGTCAAAATAATGCTAAAACATGTGTGGAGTATAGCCAAGACAAACTAGCATGAAGGGCCAAAACACTAAGTACACTAGGCTAGTGGGCAAGATTGCACTACAAGTACATGAAGCATGCAAGAGGTGACCAAACTAGCCCAAAACAGAGTTATGGCAGGTCCAAAAAGTCACAAAAAAGTGCTTGAACAAAGCCACAAAGAAGTAGAAACACATGCTCATTTGGTAGGCCAGCAACACTAGCAAGCAAGACAAGAGAGAGGGGACCACACCCCCCCCCTTTTTGGGACCTCAAAACCACCTTTCCACCACTGAAATTCTTCTGGAATTCAGTGGTTAAAGGGCCAAAACAAGATGGTTTCAAAAGCTTTGAAAGGTGGCTCAAAAGGCTTTGCAAGCCAAAGAGCAAAGGGAAAGACAATCCCCTAACACCAAAGGGGCTTAAACTACCATTTTTAGGACTGAAAATCAGACTTTTTGGTAGTTGAAAACCAGCCCCAAAAAAATTCCAAAACAATGGAAAAAGGATGGTGAAACAAGTGTGCAAAACAAGCTTAAAGGGAGAGAGATATGCCTCTTGATGCACAACAGCAAAACAGCTACTTTCTTGGCTCAAATGACCCTTCAATAGCCCAAAAATGAGTTCTAAGGGACCTCAGTCCAATGATATGCAACTTTGACGAAGAAAGTGTATGCAAATATGTAAGAATTTCTCACTTCTAAGCCTAAAACAAGAGGAGAAAGAGAGAATGCTAGAGAAAGGGAAGAATTTGCTCACAAATCTTCTAGAGAGAGAGGATTCTAGAGTGAGAAGCTCCCAAATTTTCTAACCCTTCAAAATGTTCTAACCCTTTTGAATATATGAGATATGGCTTCATATATAGCAAAAAGCAAGAGCTTGGTTGAAATATCTGATTATAAGATAGCTCGAGGTTGTGGAAGACAGTTGGAGGAAAAATATCTTCAAAATATCTAAGTTTGGGACCTTAGTGGTTGGTCAGCCACTTTTTTTGGTCGACCGATCACCTTTTTGGGTCGACTGACCACTTTTCTGGTCGACAGCCCATTTTTCTGGTCGACAGGAAAAATTATGCTTTCCAGGTCCAACTTCAAATAGGCATATCTCCCTCATCTGGACTCCTTTTCAGGTTATTATTGTGTCCAAATTGAATCCCGGAAGTAAGCTTTCCAATGGTGGTTGACTTGCATCAAAATTTCAACTGTGCAAAAAGTTATGCCTGTTTTGGTGAAGCCGCTCAGTTTCGATCCTACCCGGATTTATGCCGAACTTCTCCCAAACTAGCTTTCTTCTCTCCTTTCCTCTTTTCTTTAACTCCAAACCCCTAAACAAGGTGTTTTGAAAGATTTTTCAAAGATTTCATCTCTTTTTCATTCATTTCCACTTTGTCCTTGCTCGGTTTACCGAAAAACGCAACATTTAACGAAATGTGAGCATCGAAACATCGTAGAAACTTTATTTCAAAAATATTTTGAAAGAGAGGGTTTTAAGGTCTAAAAATCATTCAAAATAGCTTTGGTCCAAAATGAGGTGTCAGGTTGGGATTTCACTCTCCTCTTGTTGAAGGAATCGAACCTTTGCAGTGCACAACTTTTACCACCAAGTAAACAATTAGTGACGCCCAAGTCTTAAGGGCAGTCAAAAATGGGGTATCTACAATTAGGGTTTTGAAATTTTGAAGGAGAAAGAGGAGGTAGGTGATTCTCAATCTTCAAAGCAAATTCCCATAGAGGGTTCTATCTCTTCCACCTCTCCCCACTCCTCCATGAGTGGCTAAGCTCTTATTTTCTAGGGTTTTGATGAAACCCTAGCTATGTAATTAGGTTTTCTCTTTTGATTTTTGATTATGTAAAGGTTTGAACAATTGTATGGTGTTTTAGAAGTTTCATATATATTTTTTTCACTATTTCTTCAAGTATTGGTTTTCTGTGATTGTTGAATGTTTTTCATACAATAGTTTTCTATTATTTCATATTCAAGGTATGAGACAAACCATACTACGAGGGACGAGTCATGTCGCTACCCTAGTTTAGAGTGAACGATTCGTACTACTTGAGATGATTCGTTCCCGTACATTGAACGTAATGATTTTCTTGATAAATGCTTCGAACTTGTAGTTGCGAAGTGTTATTCCATTCGAACCGTAGCATAATTAATTTCAAATTGAAACCTTATTTACGTAACTAGTAGGGAACTCATTGCCCTAGGATTTTTCCAAAATCAGTAGATTCATCTTTTATAATTGCTAGTGTATTCGCTTTATTTAATTTAATTAGTATTAGTTTATGAATCCCTCAATCGTTTTATCAAAATTAATTTAGGAATTTAGCATTTAAATTAGTTTAATTTCGCAATTGTCCCTGTGGATCGATACCTGGACTTACCATTTTTTTAAGGAATTTGGTATAATTAAGTATTTATTTTTGGTTTGTGAAACGACCTATCAAAAATGAAATTCACCATTTTGGTAAAAAAAATAGAATTCACCAATTTGTTACTTCAAGGTGTGTCTAAATTTTTTTTAAAAAAATCATCAATTTAGAGCTTTGAAACAAATTTCAACAAATCTCACAAATTTCAACAAATTTCACCAATACCAAATGGCTGTAGAAAAAAAAATATTAAGAATAAATAAAGAAAGATAAACTTGGAGGGATCGCCGAACACCAAGAAGTGAGAGATGCCCAGATTGTGAGAGAGAGATGGACTGATCAATAGAGGGCTTTGTCGGACTGATCTTTATCTTCGTTGGACTGATCTTCGTCAGAATGATAGATCCTATAAAGGGATAGAGGGGCATGGATGATTTACGGTTTATTTGTGCCTTATCATCTTCGTTTTTATCTTCGATTTCATGGGTTTCAGGTTTCTTGAGCAATTTAAGATTTGAAGGGCGAGAGAGAGGGAGAGGTTCATCATTAGAGAAGTGATGAGGATCGGTGATCGGTGATCGGTGATAAGTGAGAGAAGGAGTGAGAGAAAGCTGAAGAGAAAGAGAAATAGAGAGGTGAGAGTCGGTGAACGGTAATCAGTGATGAGGATCGGTGATGAGGTGATCGGTGGTAGATGATGAGTGAGAGAAAGAGTGAGAGAAAGCTAAAGAGAGAGAAACGAAGAGGTAAGAGTGAAAAAGAGGGAGAGAGCGACTTGGGAAGAGAGGGGAAGATGATTCTAGAAGTTGATCTAAGCCGATGGATTATATAAAGATCCAACGGTGAGGGTGAATTATATATATATATATATTTTGTAGTGGTTTTGTGTTTTTGGTGGATTGAATTATATTTAATTTTTTTTAAAAAAATTTCAATTTCTTTTTCATTTTTTATATTTGTCTAGTCGGGTATAACTTAAATATATATATATATATATTATAAATAATTAAAAAAATGTCACAAAAGACAAAAAATAATAAAAAAATCAATAAAAAATCTATATCCAAACAACATTTATAAATTTTGAGGAAAACTTGGTTAAAATTTACTAAAATAGCATGTGTATCATTGGAGTAATATTATTATAATTTGACAAATTACTACTATTTATTATCAAATTATAACAATAATAATAATATTATGGCAAATAGCATGAGAAATGCCTTAATAACTCAAAAACCCATTTAAGTCAACTCATACATTAAGCACTTCACCTAACTCATGTTGTACTTGAACACTGGTGTACTTAAATCAAATCATATAGACTGAACACCTTACCTAATTAATTCCATTCTCCATTGTACTTCGATCTCAACTTTGAGAAGTTAGTGGTTGATTCATGACTATTTAGGGAAGATAGTTATAATTAATTTTTTTGGTTAAAAATTGTTTATAAATTATTTTTTTGTAAAAGAGGAAGTGAGTTATAATCTGAAAAGTGAATTATAATCCACTTCTCAAAAAGGCCTCAGAATGCATGCATTCTAATTGATAAAGAATGTATGACTTATAATTTTATATTAATGTTTAAAAAAAATAATGAGATATGAGAGTTTGTAATTAGTCAAGAGTATAATTACGTAATGCCCCTGAACTAACTAATAATTTTTCCTCAAACTTTATTGTGTGAGATTGTTGATATGATATTATTATTAAAGATAAATTAAATATAATTTTTTTTAAAAAATATATTTTTAGATAATTACACTGATATTCTTTTTAGTAGAGTACAAAAACCAAAACTATATAGATGTGAAGAAACAAAGGTAAATATTGCAACATCATTTTTTCATCAATAATTAAAGAATTCTGAATTAAAAAAATAAATAAATGTTATGTGAATTAAATTTTAAAAAATTTAATATAATTATATTAAAATTATAGAATTTCTATATATTTTTTAAATATCAAGAAGATGAATGTAATTTACCCAATTATTAAAGTTAGGATGCAATTGACAAATTTTCTGCTAGCAACAGATGGAGGTGCAAAAGCCCAAAATAAAAAAGGGCCAACCTTTTTTCTTTTTTTCACATGGTTTTTTAGACAGCAATTCAACCAACTTATCATTTCCTTAAAAAAATGTTGCTTGTGAAAACTCTGTTTCATAAACAAATAAATGCACAAGGATAAAAGCCCAAACAAACTTAACTAATCAAAGCTCATGATTAAAAGAAAAAGAAAAATAAGTGTTAACAGTCAATATCACATATTACTTGTGCCATCCAAACATTCCTTTCCCTAGTTGCCATGCAAACAAGGTTTAAGCAACCAAGCTTGGAACACAGAACTTGACCATAATATATATAGCACACATAAAAGTGCATTAAGCACAACACCCAGTTCAAATTGACTCCATCAGAGACCATCACATTATATCCTTTGGTGCCGACATTAGCCGAAGTATTTCATCCGAGGCTTGATTAGATGCTCCAGAAGAAGAAGACCTCTCTTCTGCTAACAACGAGTGTAAGTCGCTACCATTTGCCAAGCTGTTGAACTCGACTGCCTTGGATGGCATTGTTGGATACCGCCGCTGGCAAAATGTCATCAATCTCTTGACCGATTGCAGGTACTTGCGAGTCGTCTCATCATTCATAATGTGGGCAACACTATTGGTGTAGATTTTCTCACGCGCTGAACGTTCGTGGATACCAACCATAGTAACTCCAATAGGCCAAGGTGCATTTCCAATAGCCATCCTGATGTAATGATCCATTGCAGCCAAGTAGTCTCGCCTCATGCAGCACTCGACCATCAACATCAATGCCTGCCGAATATCGTCCGGAAGAACCTACAAATGGCATGCATCATGAGTTTGGTGATACAATTCCTTTTCGTACCATTGCAAGGTTCTAAACACATTAATCAGGGTACTGGCAAATAATATGAATCTAATGGAAACATTTTTGTTGATAAGTCAAGTCAGATCAATTAAAAAATATTTGTTTGAAAGTAAATTAATTAGGAAGAGGTATTAAGGAATGCTACCTGTATACGAAAAAGAAAGGAAAAGAAAAGCACCCTATATACCTCTACATGAACTAAAACACTAAACAAAATCCAACCAAAAATTGATTGAGTGAAGGATTAACAACCACTGATTCCCAACTACAGAAAAAACTATTCAGTATTTGTCTACAAACAGGAGATGAGAAGATGCTAATGGGAATATTGAAAGTTAGAACAAGATGAAAAAGGGTCAACTCAAGTCTAAAACAATTCAATTAATTGGTGCCAACAAGTAGGGTATGAAATGGGCTCTCTCAAGTTTAAAGCAGCACAGTGCAATCACAATACTATCAACTTACATGCTAACACTTTCCAAAAGGATACCCCACACAGGTTCATATCCAGTAAACATCTTCAAAAGGACTGGGACACTTTCCGTTCTGTTCAAAAGAATTCTAACAGCACTATGTAATCAATAAAATATCAAGAATAGATCCCCAGGCCCACTGGGCACTGAACATATTAGTTTCAATCCATGAAATTTAAAACAAGATTCGGATTAGTATCAGCCAGTCCAAGGGACTTCCAATCCTGCTTTCGACCTCATGTTTCCAAGTTGGTTTCCAAAATTGCAAAATTTTCTCTAAACTCTTGATGGATTTCCAAATTGTTCAATTTTAGTCTCAAATTACTAGTTTATTAGGCTTCCTTTTTCAGACATTTTCCACGTGGGAGAGAAATTTTGTTTGATCAGCAGAAATTGACGAATTTCCAACTCTGTATCCAACAACCAATTTGATGAAGTTACTTGGTTCCATGCTGAGGTTATCATCTCACCTATGGGTCTTTTACTCACTGAAGTTTTTACAGATCTTGTGGATGATGTGGAGCTAGTTTTCTCCTATTTTTGCTAGGAGCTTCATTGTAAGAACTAAGGTTTCACTTCAAGTTTTTTAGATTGAGCTTAACCCTGTTGGGCCATGGTTCTCCTTATTCTCTTTCTACATATTCGTTTTGGGTTATTGAGATCTGGTGATGTGCTTTGTTTGAAAAGCTAGTTCTGTTTTCCTTTTCTGCAATTCTCTTTTATCTGCTTGCATCTCTCTTGAAACCTCTTGTTTGAGATTTGGACCTTGTAGGTACATGTGTATGGATTTCTTATGCGGCAACCCTCTCTAGATCTCTCTTTCTGGATTGTTCCCTTTGGATCATCCTTTTTGAATCTCCTTTCTTAAAATGCCCCCCTGAATTGTCCCCTCACTCTCTCCAAATAGCCTTGCCTTGCCTCAACAAGTGAGCTCAAACCCACTTAACGATCAGCTATTTGCCTCACAACTTAATCTTAGAACAACTACCTAGGCTAGGAGCAGGACCTAGGATCTCTGCATGGAATCTTTGGAGGATTGTGGCTTGGAGGTAAGAGTCAATGAAGCGTCAAGGGACTCGATTCTCTTGACCAATCTTAGAGAGAGAAAGAGAGAAGCTTACCGACCAAAGACATGATACTTTGATATCTTTGAAGATACCTGAAATGCTAAGGTAAGGAATCTCCATGTGTTGTTGGCTAAAAAAGGCTAAGGTATAGAGATCCCATGTCAAGAGGTCCCAGGAATGAAGATCCTCGACAAGGGAACCTAGATGGGATCTTGGGGCGTGAAATCCCCAATTGTCTTACCGAGGGGATCGGGCCACTTGTTATCACTGAATCAACCTCAAGAACCCAGCCACATTCTCTATCTCTTATAATGCTGCCTTGGTACTATCTTTATCCGCCTCTGGTGGTTTGATTGTGTGATTGTATCATCCATAGTTCACTGATGAGGTAAAGGAATTGCCTAACCACCCATATGTGGACAAATAATATTCACAAACTATTCAAAATATAGGTAAAATAATTTCTAACAGATTCATGAAACTCAAAAACTGTATCTCCAAAGAATTGAATCACAATAAAACTATTCTATTTCATGTAATATTGCTATATCTACTAGAAGCACGCATGTAAACTGTATTTCTCAAACTAAACACACCAGTGAAACAAGACGGTGTTAAAGCATTGAATGTAATTAAATTAATCAGTTACCTTCTTCCTGCAGAACTTGAACAATGGATTCAAGTACCTAGCACACTGCTTAAACGTCGCAACAATGGACTTCCCTTTAGCCGTCCTCTTCTCCGCCTCACCCATCTCATCAAGCTCCTGCTTCCACTCAATCAACAGTCTCTTGAAGAACACAAGAATCTTATCTTCATCACACAAATCGTCGAAATTCGACTTCATCCGCTTCAAATCCTTATCATGATCCACACCACCCGACGAATTCCCATCCCCACTCATATCCTCATCCCCGCCGCCTCCCTCCTTATCCTCCCCCCCATACTTCCAATCGGCTTCCATCTTCCGATCGCTCAAAAATTCCCCGAATTTCTGCTCTTCTTCAACTCTACAATATCGCGCAAGAAATCGTTCGTTTGCCCTTCAGTCATATCGCTATCATCAACCTCAAACATCCCAGCCTTCAACACGTACTTCAACCGATCAAGTCTCGCCTCATCGTCTTCCCCAAACAGCGTGACCGGTTGTTTGAGCAATCGGAGGCGGCGAATAACTTCTTGCTTGGGGAGATTGAGTTCGTCGATCTTCTGCTCGTCGGTTAGGGCTTTGGAAGATGAAGAATTGGCGGACTCGGCCTTGGATTTGGAGGTTTCGGAATTGGAATTAGGGTTTGATGCGGAATTGAGAGAGGAGTTGTGTTGTTGATTACCTTGCCGTTGCTGTTGTTTTTGAGCTTTGGCTTCTGATTCGCGCTTTTCTTCCTCTCGGAGCCTTTGGATTCGTTTCTGTTCGATTTCAGATCGTTTGAAGAATTTCCTGCCTCCGACGTCTTGCGACAGGCTCTGCCGCTTCTTCATCAATTCTTGCTTCAGGATATCCATGGTGTTTAGGGTTTCTCTCTCGATCTTCTTCTTCTCCGAAGCAATTGGGTATTTCGCAAACAAGTCCACGATATGCGTCTTTTGTTTCTTTCCGGTTTAAACCGGGTCCATATAATAATATGTTCCTACACCGACATATTGAATAGTCAATGGGTCAAGTAGACCGGCCGGTCGAGAGTACACTTCAAAGACTGCCTAGGGTTTTAATTTGCCCATAGCACACAGAAAGAGAAGAGAGATGACGACGATTCGAAGATTTTGCTGCAACGATCTTCTTCGATTCGCATCTGTGAATCTTGATCATCTCACTGAAACTGTAATTTCCTTAAGCTTTATTTATATTTTTGTTTCATCTATTATGAGTTATGGAGATCATTAGAATTTGGAATGTGTTAGTTTTATGATTTGATTTGATGATTGCAGTTCAACATGTCGTTCTACATGACCTATCTCGCAAGATGGCCAGACTATTTCCATGTCGCTGAAGCTCCTGGAAATCGAATAATGGGATACAGTAAGCTTTTCAGCTTTCTCTCCCATTCTTTTGTATATTTTTTTTTTATATAAATATTTGTAGTTCCATTTTGTCTGTTTTGTTTTGAGTTTTCAAAATTATTAGCTAAGATGTCATGCTAGCATCTTTGATAAAAATTAAGAAAATCATCTAGACTTACATACCATCACTCAAGTAATTTTCCAATAAAAAGTTCATTCCATTCCACACTACAAGACATGCACCATATTATATGTTTCCATTTCAAAACATATTTCAATTTAAATAATATATATATTTAAACCGACGCACTGATGTGAAGATTGGCATTCGTCACAACAACACAAATCTCACCTGCGCTCTAGCAGATCCTTGTTCCACATAAATGTAAACTGAGGCCTTTTGCGTAGAAGGTACAACTACTTAAAGCACAAACTCTGAAGGAACACACAAACTTATACCATCAACGGGAAGAAATTGTAAAAACATGTGTGGAAAGTAGAATCAATCTAACTCTACTTGGAACTTATTGTTTACATAATTTGTCCGGTAAACATTTAACTTTGAAACATGTGCTAAAGCTTATTTCTAATCGCGAATGAGTGATGGTTAAAGAAATTGGATTTGAAAATGACTTAGAATTATCACTGAACATATTTGGTCAAATTGTTTGAAGATGAGAAATCCTTCCTTCTGCATAGAGTTATATATTGCTTGTTCCACTTGGTGTAAGGAATATTTTACCTTGAAAAGCATACAGGTAAATTACAAACAAAACCATGAAGCCTTCATAGTGATTTGCTAAGTTAATGTTGGTGCAGAGGCTATGCTTCCTCATGTATTAATGAAAGGAGTATATATGTTTTTATTGGTCTTTATTTTATCACTACTAGGAACCCAACTGATATTTCGAATTCAGTATTTTTTTTTTGGGACAGAAATGAAAGAAAAAGTTTTTGTCCAGAATGTGCAAAGTGTACTTAGTTTTTAACTCCACCGGTCCAACATATGTTCTTTTTTATTTTTCGTCTTTTCAGTGTAGCATGTGTACAGGGCACACTCAGTGCTGCAATAGTAAAAATTTGGGCTATGTAGCAGAAAAAATGAAGGCTTGGATTGGCACTTCATGTGAATAAAGCTCAATGCTAAGTTACCCTCTCCATCCTCTAGTGACCTTGGATTATTGTGGAAAGCATGCTATCCAGCGATGCTCCTGCGTTGTGAATAAAGCTCAATGCTAAGACTTTTTTTTTTCCCTTCTGAAAATGAATTTTTTATGCTCTATTATAAGAATGCGCTGCTTAGTTTTTAACTACTAAGGAATATAATACATTTTGATCTCTTTACTAGGTTAAAGGTTTCCCTGATTTTTGTTAACTAGTATATTCGTATAGATGGAATGTGTAAAAAATGAATTGATAACACTAGCTTACCACCATTTTTGCTGGTGCTTTTGCTAATACCGATCCCTTTTTTTTTATTGCTTATAACATTAACTTATTTGCAGTTATGGGAAAAGTTGAAGGGCAAGGTGAGTCTTGGCATGGCCATGTAACTGCAGTTACTGTTGCTCCTGAATATCGCAGGCAGCAATTGGCCAAGAAGCTAATGAACCTGCTCGAAGAAATAAGTGACAAGATGTAAGGGCGAAATGCATTAAATAAAATAAATTCTTTTACGTAGCTGCATCTTCTTACTTTGAAACTGAAACTTACATCATACAAATGCTTTTGGAGACATTTTTTTATTCAGTTTAGTGAAAATTTTAATTTGTTGTCTTGTATTCCTCTTGTTAGTTAAAGAATTTAATTTATTATATGCTTTGAATTTGTTAATTTTTTCCCCTGGGATCTATTCATCCTATGCTTCTGCAGCTAAGGAATGGCTCCTTCTTCATGATGCAATCAACATCTATTGAGCAGCCCCTTCAGCAATGTTGTATTATGTTTCTTTTGGTTGTATCTTTTGTTCTTACTAACAATATAACTAGTTAATATATGCATATATGGTGCTCAATACTTTCGGATTAAATAAATGTTTGGGTCCTCAAACTTGTAAAATCTTGGGAATATGAAGAGATCACAGATTCTAAAATCAAGTTATGAGCGCTACATGCTTTTGAGATTATACCATATATGTAGCCATATGAATCTTGTGTATTTTTGTGCATATCTATATGCATTAAGCATTGATTAGAGGATGCTGGAGCGGTATGAGGCTATAACTCTTCGTTTTAGGTGTGTTTAATTTGGCCTATTTCTTGAGAAGACTATGGTAGTTTTAGGTGTGTTTAATTTGTTATGCAAAGACTATTGATTGAGCTCTTATGGCTTCTTCAGGCCCTGTATACTAACTTTTGCTGGAAGCATTGTTGAAATGGCCAATAGTTATGGCTGTAGTTCATTCTCCTTCTGAATTTCTTTGAATCTTCCCTCATTTTTATATCTTTTAAGGGTACACTAGAATCACTGTGCACATTGATAAGCCTGTGTCATGACTAGCGACTTAAATTGATTGTGAAGGTTGGGGATGGTATGAATACCCAGCCTGACTCAAAAAACCCTTTGTCTCACTAGCTGGGTCTGCTGCATGTATCCTATCTTGTATAATAGTTGATCTAAGCATACTTATATTTAATTTATTGTAACATGCCTTTCCCTCTGTCTCATTTATTTTTGATCTTCCCCTCACATTTGACTATCTTTAACGTAAGACACTTTCATGTTCATATCATATCTATACTTATCATTCTTGTCCAATAATGCAATAGTTTGTATTCCCTTTTGATGTCTTAGTACTCATTCACGAAAGATCATCATCATCGTCATCATCATCATATATACATACATATATATTTCTCAATTAGGAAGAGATTATTTATGATACGAAGAGAAAGATCTGGACAATAGTCCAACAACCAACCCCCATAATGGGGAAGAAACAAACAACAACCATCCCACTTTAGAAAGTGCCCATAACCAAATCAAACTTTGTGTCCTAATCAAGTAGGGTCACCTACATAAATCATTTTTCTCCATTATGCTCTATCAAGTGCTATATGTCTAGTTAAATTAAATAAATTCATATCTTTTTTCACTATCACATCTTTTGTAGTTTAGGTCTTTCATCTCCCTATGATATCCATTTATGGTGGTCATATCGCTCTTCTTTACCGTTTCATCTATAGGTCTTCATTGTACATGATCAAACCATCTTAACATATTGGGAAGAAATAAAAATACAACAAAGAGTCATGATAGGGGAGAAGTAATCAATATTTGCATTTGGCAAGGATTGAACCCTTAACTTTCTAGATAAAAAAATGTATAGGAAGTGGACACCGAGAATCATGGTTACTTCTCTTCGTTTTGACACAGAATATGTATATATATTTCTTAACCTGGTAGTTTTGCGATTTTGGTTTCACTATACAAAAAATATTTGGGATGTGAATAAATAGATAATCTCATGTTTCCATATTTTTGTGATCTACGCTGTGTATTTTTCTTCACTCACCATACTATGCTGCAATTATTGGTTTTATGAGTTATGGTCTTACATTGGTGGATCTCACAATTCATGTAGATGTTCTCTTGACTTTGGTAAATAAGCATAACTTTCTTCTGGCAGTGATAAGGCTTACTTTGTGGACCTCTTTGTGAGAGCATCAAACACTCCAGCCATAAAGATGTATGAAAAGGTAATGGTCTTGTAACTTCTTCTTGACAGATTCTATTGTTCATATCAATTTTAACGTTGTGAATTTTGGGAAGCATGCTAAATATGTGCTATAGAACTAGCAATTTTTGTTTCTTCTGAAGTGGATCTTCTTTCACTTCAGTAGTTGTACCAACATTGGCATGTAAGCCTCCTTAATGAAATATAAGATAATGAGGAATATAATTTTTTATTGTGTTTGTGTATGTTTTACCTGTCACAAACTATGCCTCCTTATCAAAATATAAGATAGTGTGGAATATAATTCCCCAAATTTTGTAACTTCATTTGATTGTGTTTGAGTTTGTGTATGTTTTACCTGTCACAAACTTTTACAAGGCTGGATTGGTTATATCTTTTGAAAATTAATAAGTAGGTCTGTTGTAATATGTATAGACTATAGAGACAAGAGGACATCTGGAAGCCTTGAAAGAAAAATAAATTAGTAAAAATAAAACAATCACCCATTAGAAGTCAGCCGAGCACAAAAATTCTGCATTACAATCCCTTGTTGATAGTTGAATTGACATAATTTTTTTCTGCGACCACCTATCCCCCAACCTGTTGCATTTCTCTCTTAATCTTCGAAGCACCCATAAAGGGGTTTGTATTTGTGATGTTTATGGGTTGAGTCTTTAAATCATTCTCCTCTTTCAACATATCCAAACCTGTGTTACCATAAAAAACTAATATCCTAGCAAATTACCTATTGGTACGCACATTCCGAAGCATGGTACACTTCCATTCCAAAATAGTAAATTTAGTGATTTGAAGCAATCTCAAAAGCTTTTTCCGATATATTTCCTTAAATGTTTTTTTAGGAGGAAAAAAATCAAATATAAAGAACTAAAATTTAAGGTGAGTTAAGTTTTGACATGACAAAACGAAACATAAATTTTTTTTTGTCGTAATGGATGCCTAATAATTAAAAGAAAATTACTCTAGAAGTACTTAAAATTTTTTAAGTGTAATATATGCAAGTCTACCAGTATTATACTACATTTTAGGGCATGTGGCGTACCCTTAGTTGCAGGAATCGTGCAACCAAGTAGCGATTCTGAGTAAGAATCGCGATTCCGCGTTTCCTAGAAAGAAACTTGTAAGAATCACGTTTATGTGGAGAGAGAAACGCGATTCAATCCAAGATGGGATCGTAAAGGGAAGAGAGAGAGAGAGAGAGAGAAACCTGGTCTCTCTGTCGCCTTCTCCTTCGACATCGATGTCGACCTTCGACATCACCTGGACCTGCGACATCGACCTACGACGTTGACTTCGCCTTCGATCTGCTCTCATCTCGCGATCTGCTCACCTTCGCTCTCGCCTTCGATCTTCTCGTCATTGCCTTCGATCTTCTCGTCATCGCCTTCGATCTGCTCACTTTCTTCTTCTTCTTCCCGCTCTCTCTCTCTCTCTCTCTCTCTCTCTCTCTTGTTGATATGTGTTCTGTCTCCCCCTCCCGTTTTTAACATATAATAAATATAATAAATAATATAATTTTTATATAATAATAAATCTAATTAAATCAAATATAATAATAAAAAAATCAAATAAAATCTATAAAACAAATCATCCAATTTTTATCTTTTATTTATTTTAACATATTTTATTATTCCTTATTTGTTATATTTTTTATTTATAATATATATCAATTAAAAATAAAAATAATTATATAAATAAATTAAAAATATTATCAATAAAAATAATACCTAAGATAAAAATAATAAATATATTTAAAAATAACTTTTTACCTTATCTTGGAGGTGCAAATGGAGAAAAAGATAGTGATGCTAATGATGATGAAGACGTGTAAGAAATTGGATTTACTTGAAGCTTGGCTTCCGCTTCGTGCAACTTAGGGCGTACCACGTTCACGTTCCCGTTCCCGTTCCACGTACCGGAACGATCCACGTAACATAGATCCAAACTCAACCTTGTGGTCCCTTACCGGGACTTTGTTTGAGTTTTCTATCACTTTTTAAGCTACCAACCATTGGATCTTAAAACACCATAAAAATAAAAAAAAATAAAAAAATAAAAAAAAGACATTGGATCTTAAACCACTCTTCGATTCACTAAGAGGGAGGCCTACATGTATAGGTGGCTGGGGAACCACATTCTACAGTTAAAAATAAATATCTGAATTTTTTATTCTCATATGATCTTTAGGTTAGTTAAAAACATATAGGTCATGTTTGATTCAAAATACTAATAGTGAAATATTAATAATCCTATTAAATTAGTGTAGCATTCACTATCCAATTGGATTAATATCCATTAGATTAATAATCCCACCCCTATCCCATTACTAATAATCCTACAAATTTGTTGGATTAATTATCCATTGGATTAATAATCCTAAACCAAAATGTTAAAACAAACATGAGATAATTGGACCCACGGATTAATAATCTCAATCCCATACTCTAATCCACCCAATCAAACATGTTCATAAAGAATACTAGGTTGGGGGGATAGGTGGTTGCTGGACAATAACCATCTGATGGACAGTGCTCACAGTTGATTGTTTGCTCAAATTGTTTTGTTTGAAACTAATAACTTGTTCAATTTACACGTATCACTAATTTGTGGATGCTGATAGTTCTAATTCATGCAAGGGATATTTTGTTAAATGAGGCATTTGGTAAATATCTATAATGGTTACTGTTATTAACTGTGATCATGCTCACCTTGCTACTTTTCAGCTTGGTTATATAATCTATAGACGGGTACTGCGGTATTACTCTGGGGAGGAAGACGGTTTAGGTGAGTCCGTGTGTGCATTCATAGAATTCTCTAGTCCGCTTTGTAACAACCTTCATTGCCTCTCTCACCTTCAATTTGAATTGATTTCAGATATGAGGAAAGCATTGTCTCGGGATGTTGAGAAGAAATCAGTTATCCCCCTCAAAAGACCTGTCACTCCAGATGAATTGGAGTATGATTAAATCTGTTGTCTTTGAGCATTTTTGCCCAAAGAGTTTGATGGAACCATTGAGTGTTTGGTGCTTTCAGAGATGAGAGGTCAGGCATCATGAGCTGATTGTAGGTTTTTGACGTATGGAAATGTGTATGTTAGTTGTTCATCACAACCGAATAGTTTGGGGGTTAATATGTTGTTTTTGAACGTTTTGGTTGTCACTAGACGTTGAATGGGCATATGTTGCTTGATCTAGCCTTTTATTTGTCAACATTTCTAATTGTTAATGTGGACAGAGTTGGTGTTTTCACTGAGGTTGTTGCATCTTTGGCTCCTATTATTAGATGAACATTTTGATAGAATGATTACTGTGACCTACTTAATTCCAGTGAATCACATACTACCTTAGTGCACAAGACTCATGCCACTCTTATGGCTATGTTTGGGCAGACCAGATTTAATGGGATCATCATTCTTACAATGGTTAGTTTTAAGATTGTTAATTCCTTTGAGTTGTGTACTCTATCCCAAGGTTAGATTGTTTTAAGATTATGAAGAGGGACTGAAATTTTTGTGTGTTAATTTTGTGTTTTAACTAATTAATCCGAATTTGTTTTTAATCTTTTATTTTGTATTTCATCCTTTTCTTAGGATTCGATTGGCCCTCCTACGGGGCATGTTATGTTCTCATGAATATTAATATTAATTTTAATTTTCTTAACCAAAATTGAATTATTTATTTTGTTGTATTATTAATTCAATTATAAGACCAAGTTTGCCCACACAAATGTCGTAGGGGGTTTGGGGAGGGTTATCTCATGTGTACACAACGCATTTTTATTGTAATTTGTATGGGTAGAGTGAAACAAAAGCTGAATAAAAGAGAATAGATAAGGGAAGAAAAACAAAAGCTGGAAAAAAAATAAAATAAAATAACTCAAGCAGACGGAGAGAATTAGAAATAGGCATTCTTTCACTTTCACATGGTGTAGTCCTCAAGATGCATGAATATTGAGACATCGTTTGGGATTAGGTTAATTTAATAATTTTTTAGTTATTTGACTAAAATTTGAGTTAAAAAAAATTAGTATGTTTGGGATGATTTTTTAATTTTTTACGAAAAGATCTGTAAAAAGTAGAGAGAAAAGAAAATTTTTAACTTTATGATATGAATTGATGACTTTTTAATTTTTTTTAATAATTTTTAAAATTTTTGACTAAACGAGCTGGTTGTCAAAATGAGGCCTGGATACCAGTCCTTCCGGATCAATATATATATATATATATATATTTTCGGGACTACTAGAGGGCCATAATTTTTGTGGCTCAAATGGCTCAAAATTGTCAAAACGACGTCGTTTTGAGCACAAAACATGCCAAAACGACATCGTTTTGACAGTTTTGAGCCATTTGAGCCACACAAATTGTGACTCTCAAACATTATTCATATATTTTATACTTGCAACTCTGACAAAGTCATGACAAAATCTCAAAGGCCAAACGGGTCCCAACGCTAGCCACTAAGGGTAGGACTTTAAAGTGGAGAGGAAAACAAAATAATAAATAGGAAAATGTTATAAATTTTTTATTAAATAAATAATCAAATGTCTCACATAAATGTAGATCTATATTTTTGTGAATTCTATATTCATGTAAAATATTTGATCATTTATTTAGTAAAAAATTTGATATCTCTAACATTACCCTAATAAATAATAAGACTATAAACATATAAACTAAACTAAATACAAAATGAGAAACAAATAGATGAATATTTTTTTTATTATAAAAAAAGTGCATTATATTAACAAATCAAAAATGTTAGAAATCTCAAAAGTTTTACTAAAATTTCTACCAAATGTCTTACATCAGTATGAAATCCACATAAGACTTATATGATGTGAGTCTCACACCCATATAAAATATTTTATAAAAATTTTAATAGCATTTTTGAGTTTCTAATATTATCTTAACAAATTTTGTTTTTTTTTATTAACAATTCATAAACATTTTTGTGTTGGGTTTTTGTGTAACAACAATGATTCATCCCACTAAAACTATCACCACTAATAGCACTAATGCATTAAAAAAGTAAAAAAAAAAAAAAAAAACACAACTCCAAGACCAAAACATCACATCATTAATGACGGGACCCACTGCCACCTAATTAGTGGGAGCACTAATTAGTGGGAGCAAGCATTTTTCTTTGTGTAAACAAGAATAACACAATAATCAAAGCAGCAGAAGTGCAGCATTCGAGATTATCTGCTCGAATGGCATTATTGGCGTGGTAGGGTGGGACCAGTGATAGATGCATGTTCGCCGCAGTAGCACATCAACAAATTATGAACCAAACAAAATCAAAATAACTATGCTACATTTCTTAATATAATACCATCATTTTGTTTCTTTCTTAATATAATACCATCATTTTGTTTCTTCATGAGATGAAAAACAGAAAGAAAAGAGATGAGGAGGATGGATTCACCTTTTCATATGATCTATTTTATGTCATTCAAGATAAATTAAGGATGTTCAATTCATCCTTCCAAACATTTTTCAAAATCAAAATTAAAATCAAAAACAAAAACAAAAAGACAAAACAAAGACAAAACATGGGAATCGAAGAGTGAGAAAGCAGTAGTGGTCGACATTGGAAATGGCCATTGTACTAAATGGGTTTCCTTCCAAAACAATGCCATCCGTTTGCTTTTCTACTCTGATTCTTAGGTCAAGTTTGACAAGTTTATAAAAAATTAAAAAGTTAAAAAGTTATCACTATTCATCAAAAGTCAAAAATTACGGTTGCACAATTTCTAATCCTAATTTTTTCCTACATACTAATTTATACAATTTTTTAATACACATTTTTTCATAAAAAGTTAAAAAGTTAGCCCAAATATTCATATTTTTTTTTCTCAATTTTTTAGTCTAAAAAGATAAAAAGTACATTTATTTAAGAGACTCCAAACAACCCCTTACTTCCCTATCTTTTTCTCTTTTCTTATTTATTTTTTTAAATTTTTTATTATTTTTTTACCTTTGTATGTTTTCCGATTTTCTCGTATAACTATTATTTTTTTAACAATATAAGAGATTTATATCTTACACTCATAAATACATTCACAATAATAATGTGATAAGAATAGTAAGTCTTATATCATTGAAAGTTTAACTAATCAAAAACAAACATTCATTAAATTACGTCATTGTAAATTAAATTATAAATGGTTTACGAGCATCTCTACCATTTTCATTATTTTTGTAACTCTTTTCTTAACTTTGTCAGAGAATATCACATGCCAATGTGGTTCTTTTCACCAATGACAAATAAATATTTTTTTATATCATTTTTTAAACACTAATATAAATATAATAAATTTTGTTGTCTAAATTAATTAAAATGGAATGCAATAATCGTAGTGGGCTATCAAATCCAGATTTCAAAACACCTTTCCTTCCCTCATTATTCGATGGCCCAAGCCCATGCCCATGCAGACACTTCTCATGAGGCCAACATCTCTCTTTCTCTCTCATTTTTCGGTAATGATTGTTTCGGCCGGCGGAGGGGGTAGGCGTGGGAGACATCCTTGGGAGTAGTTGAGCTGTGCATTGAGAGTTGAGTTGTAGTGACAAGAGGCCTGTTGTGTTGGGTCGAGGGATTCAAGCTTTTTGTTTTTGGGTTGGGCTTTTTTTAGTCCGTGATCAGATTAAAAGATATTGTTAGATTTGTGGAGGTCTATTATGGATCTCATTTTTATAATTCAAACAGTTCAATGTGTAGAACTCATCGAGTACTATATGTCTGTAAAAAATTATGTTAATCGGATATTGATAGCTATCTCATCGGATCAAATTTTTATCAACAGTTTATTTTTTCACCGTCTATTTTTTATTATTATATAAAACTGATTTGATCACGCAGTTATCGATATCTGATCAACGTGATGTTTTACAAACATATAGTACTCGACGAGTTTTACACATTAAACAATTCAGATTATCAAAACGAAACCCATGATGGACCCTCATAGCCCAACAGTACCCTTCAGTCCAATCACAGACTAGAGGAAAGCCAGTCCCTTTCGTTAAGTGCTTCTTAACTTCCAGGAAAATCTTGTTTTGTTTTTCTTTAAAAAAAAAATAAAAATAAAATTCATGCGGTTGAGGGGTTGATTGTATGTTTGCAAGTAGTAGTAGTAGTAGGGATATTTTATATTGTGTGAATGTCTCTCGATACATTATATCTTTCTATACCTGTAATTTTATATTTTTAATAAAATTTTCACTTTCTTGATAATATATATATATATATATATATAACTGAAATGATATAAATAAACTAGGTTCCAAAATATATCTATATTTACAAAAGTGATATTCTCGAAAAGATCATTTTAAAAATATCAAAATCATAAAATGTATAAAGTAAATTTAAATTTAATGTGATTTGCACAGAAATATATGTATATTTACATTTTTTTTTTGAGATACAAGTGGTAATCCGTGCCATGCACGAGACTTTATAAATTAAAAAAAAAATCATTATAATTATCTTGAAATAGTTTAATATTTTATCTTATGGTATACATAAAATTTATTAGTTAACTTTTATGTTTATAAATTTTTAAATTATTAGTTTAAATATATATATATTAATGTATGAAAAATATTTGGAAGCTCTAAATAATGAGCTCTAAAGAAGCTCTAGGGGGTGAGCTCCACCAATTGATGTGATGTTTTGGCCTTAGTTTTTTTTTTTTTTTTTTTAAATTTTCACCTCATTAATACTCAATTAGAACTCCAAAATCAGAGGGACGAATCATTGTTGTAAATCTATTTAGTTCAATTTTGATAATTTGTATTAAAAAATAGTTAAACCTGATTAAATGAGTTATGACATACCTCTTCTTGTTATGAAAATATACAAATTTAAAAGTTATAATTAAGACAAATATACAATTTTATTGTTAAATGTGAAGTGAAGTAATATTTAACAATAATTAATATGATATTTCTATTACTAATAATTCTTCTCCATCATGTAAATCTATAAACAAACATATAAACCTTATTAAAACCGAAACCAAAACCAAACCAATAGCAAAGAAATAGAATGACACAGGGAAAAAAATAAAATTAAAAAACAAATAAATTTATGGAGTGGGAAAATGTTATCTCTAACAACTTAGACCTTACCTAACCCAATTTGTTAGCTCTTCTGTCGGTATTTGTAAAGTTTAGAAGTTGGGATGACTAATCAAATTATTCTTTAAATAAGACTTGAAAATTGATTAATTTGTCCCATTAAGTGATTTAAAATT